CGAGAAAATCTCACCTAAGCACTGTCCAAATCGATAGACTACCAAGAGTGAAATACACGTTTGCAGATTTGGGGGAGGGCTTAAATTAGCGCATTTAAAAAGTTAGGTTAGCATTGGTTGGGTACCTGCAGCTAAAACGCGATTCTGGAGGATCTCTAAACGCGCAAGAACTTACTTGAGAAAAGAAAGTTATATGGGCGAGAATCTTCAACCAAAGACTGTGCAAATCGATAGTTTTCCACAAGTGAAATACACGTGTGTAGATTTGGGTAGGGCTAAAAGTAGCACATTTAAAAAGTTAGGTAAGCATTGGTTTGGATCCCTGCACCTGAACCTTCAGTGTGGCACATCTTTAAACGCGTGCGAAGTTATGAGAGAAAAGAAAGTTGATAGGGGCGAGAATGTCTCACCCAAGCACTGTCCAAATCGATAGACTTCCACAAGTGAAATACACGTGCGTAGATTTGGAGAAGGGCTAAAAGTAGCATCTTTAAAAAGTTAGGTAAGCATTGGTTGGGGTTCCTGCGCCTAAAACTTGAGTGGGGCGCATCTCTAAACGCGCGAGGACTAACGAGAGAAAGGAAAGTTGATATGGGCGAGAATCTCTCACCCAAGCACTGTCCAAATCGATAGACTTGCAAAAGTGAAATACACGAGTGTAGATTTGAGGGAGGGCTAAAAGTAGTATCTTTACAAAGTTAGGGAACCATTTGGTGGGATTCCTGCACTTAAAACGCGAGTGTGGCACATCTTTAAACGCGCGAGAAGTTATAAGAGAAAAGAAAGTTGATAGGGGCGAGAGTCTCTCACCCAAGCACTGTCCAAATCGATAGACTTCCACGAGTGAAATACACGTGTGTAGATTTGGGGGAGGGCTAAAAGTAGCATCTTTAAAAAGTTAGGTAAGCATTGGTTTTGGTCCCTACACGTAAAACGCAAGTGCGGCGCATTTCTAAATGCGCGAGATCTAACGAGAGAAAAGAAAGTTGATATGGGCGAGAGTCTCCCATTCAAGCACTGTCCTAATCGATAGACTTCCATAAGGGAAATACACGTGTCTAGATTTGGTAGAGGGCTTAAAGTAGCATCTTTAAAAAGTTAGGTAAGCATTGGTTGGGTCCCTGCACCTGAAACGTGAGTGTGGCGCATCTCTAAACGTGCAAGAACTTACCTGAGAAAAGAAAGTTGATATGGGCGAGAATGTCCAACCAAAACACTGTACAAATCGATAGTTTTCCGCAAAAGAAATACACTTGTGTACATTTGGCGAGGGCTAAAAGTAGCATCTTTAAAAAGTTAGGTAAACATTGGTTGAGATTCCCGCACCTAAAACGCGAGTTTGGCGCATGTCTAAATGCGCAAGATTTTACGAGACAAAAGAAAGTTGATATAGGGGAGAAAGTCCAACCCAAACACTCTGCAAATCGATATTTTTGCGCAAGTGAAATAGATGTGTGTAGATTTGGGGGAGGGCTAAAAGTAGCATCTTTAAAACGTTAGGTAAGCCCTGGTTGGGATCCCTGCACCTAAAACGCGAATGTGGCGCATTTCTAAACGCGCGAGAACTTTGTCACAGTTTCCTTTATATGGGGATTTCAACGCAAACTAAGAGCAATTTACATCTCAGAAGTTCTCGTGAGCACTAAATTATGAAAACCATTTTGTACTAGATACATTTAAGCAAAAGGTTTAAATGTCATCTGTATTTTAATATGCTCTCCTTGAAACAGACAGGGGCTCTGGATGCACTTAACTACACCTCAAGATCTGGTCTGATTTACGGCAGTTCAATTGTTTGATCGTGTCCTTGCCTGCTTGCCGTACACTTCTGATCTTCCAGCAGTAAAGAATCGGGTTTAGAGACGAATTTAGGTAGATTAAAGTAGCTGTAAAGGCCACAGCAATTTCATTTTGGCTTCTAGGTATTTGGCCATACATCATAAGCATTATCACAACGGAAAAAGGAATGTAACAAGTAACTAAATTCACCTGCACCCATATTGCGCTAGAAACTGAGTTTTTGTATCGTGCAATATTGAGTGGAAGTTTTCTTCCGTTAGGTTTTCCTTGTGTTAATGGGAACACTTGCGGCCGATATTGTCGAAGCTTGACATAGATAGTTGAGTAGCAGAAGACAGAGGTTGTTACAGAAATTATTGTAAGGGAAAAGCCTGCGGTAATAGCAATATAAGCATTCCAAAACGATATCGTTCCAACTGAAATACCAATCAACCAAAAGCAAGCGATAACTGCACGAACTCGTGGTAATGTTACAACTTGTCTGTTTGTCAGTCCAGATAACAGAGCTAGGAGTCTGTCCACGCTTATTGCGCTGGATGTGTAGGTCGATATTTGACTCAAAACACAGCTTGAAGTGGTAGATAGCCTTTGGAGATAGTGAATAACTTGCTTGTTCATTCCAGTTGTTACAGAAGACAAAAGGGTAACGACGTGAGGTGGTTGAGAAATAACTCCAACACAAAGATCAGTGATCGCCAGACATCGGAACAAAAGTTTTGTTGGAGGATGAAGGGAAGTCTCTTTACGAAGAGCAACAAGGATCAGAGCATTATCCAGTGATGCAGCGATGGACAGCAAAATGTTAAAGGTTGAAAGAAATACGCCTATCCCCGCTGGCATTGACGATTCGCTTGCTTCCTTCAGCTCGATTGTGGTGTATTTGGTTACGGTGAGGTTCGCCATTCTCGTTCACTAGCTCTTGCTTATTGCAAGAGTGATAATGCTCAAGAAAACTCTTATAATGCGTTGTGCGTAGCAGATGAAACATTTCCCATACGAATATTTTGATTTCGAGTGAACAAAATTAAGCTGTTTGAGAACCAAGAACAAATAGTTGTCGGAAGAACTACTGACGGACGATTGACAAAGATTTCATAAAACACCTAACTTCAATTGAAATGAGACTTCAACCTTATTTTAAGTCCTTAAAAATTCTGTTGTTGAATTGAGTTTGAAGTACCGATGTACTTTCGCACTTGAAAGCTTCTACCTTCACTTAAACTGATTTATTCAACCTTTCCTTTTAAGTCCGTGTTGTTGAATTGACTTTTAAAGAGTAGTGCATTGAATTGACCTTTAATTACCAAAGTACTTTCGCACTTCAGAACTTCTGCCTTCACTTAAACTGATTTTTTTTAACCTTTCCTTTTAAGTCCGTGTTGTTGAATTGACCTTTAAGCAGTACTACAGGATGCTGTAAAGTGCGTAATACCACTTAATCAAGCACATTTGCCTTTAATATAATGATTCCTTTTGTATTCACTCCGGGATGACTTAAAAAGCAATTCCGTCTTAAGTCTTAACACAGATTTTGTTACTAATTAAGTTTTTTGCCTTCTTTTTGAAATTTTGAAATGTAAAACAATACGTGTTTATTAGTTTCTTTCACTTTTTCCACGAGGCTGGACTTTGAAATTTTCGTCGGCAAAAGGATCTTTTTCTCCTACGTCAACTTTTCATGATCAAGAGGTTGTCAGGGAAAATTTGCAAGCACAACGCCAAAAGTATAAGGGGATTTTTAATGATATACCAGTCAACCAGTCAGTTTTCCTTGCCCTATATTTTTGAAAGAGGGAAAACCTTGACTGAGAATTTGAGGAACGGATGGAAAAATGAAGGAAAATAGAATTTTCGTCTTTTTTTTTTTTTTTTTTTCTTTTCTTTTTTGCCCTACAGGTGTTATCTAGACAAAATGTTTATGTTTATGCGTGCAAAAACATTTTAGCGGCCTCTTTCACTCACTTTCGGGTGTACAATACTCTTTTCTTTATGATTCATTATTAAGCTCACCCTTCCTGGGCTCATTAAAATTTTACCTAGTAAACAAGAKGGTTTTTTTTTTTTTCGATTATGAATGACATTGTCCATCCGTACGAATCAACATCTTGTCTTTTGTAGGTTGCTTTCAGGTTCGAGATTAATGAAAAAGGATAGCACGAAATCGAGTTTAGCTTCTCTAAAACTACTTGTCATTTCTAGGTCGATCCGTGCCAAGATCTGTCCATAAAAAAGCTCTCTTTCAATATTTTCGCATTTTTAATGAGTATTAAATTAACTATAAAACAACTGCAGCACTGAACAAGATAATTAACATTTTACATTAAATATAATGAGAGTTAACTAGTCCTAAAATTACAGTTTATTACGAAATTTTGGGGCAAATTACGAGAAACTTTGTTTTTTGCTGTAGTAAAATTCACTATTAAAAAACTTTTCTTTTTTTGTCAATGATAAAAATCGATCCTAACACCCAGATCTAGACAAGCAATTTTCCTAAAGGAAATAGCCTATAGGCTGTTTTTGTCCCAAGAGGTTATTTCGTCACAGTTTTACTATCACGGGAATCGTACATAAGGGTGCCCGTCTACCAGTTTTCGAAATTTTGTTACGTACCCTTAACGCACCCTTCGAAACTTACCTCGTAATGAAGATAACGAAAATATTGTCGTTTAAAGACCGTAAAACTTCGTTAACTTTGACTGTGATGAGTACAGACCAGGCTCGAGGTCCTGTCTTTCAGAGATTTTCTTTAGAGGAGCAATATTAAAATGTAGAAAACACTTGGAGCAGTAACTACTTGAAACATCTTTGAACGTTCAGTGCATGGAAAATTTTGATTGAAATGTATGGTTGACATCCTCCGCACAAATCAAATTCTCACAAAATGGCCCTTAGCTTTGGGACAAAACGAGATATATATCTCTCTAATATTTATTATTTCCTTTTAAAAAATGTTTTCCTTGGAGTTGGGATCAATATTTTCATCATTTGGAAAAATAAGTTTAAGAATAAGAGTAGACGAGAAAAATTATCTTACCCTGTGAATTATAACGACAGGCAAAGTTACTCGCGTATAGACTCTTTGCATAAATACGCCTAAATTTGAATAACAATACTATATGCATCCTTGACCTCGCACTTATGTTTCCAGGCAAAGGATTTTTCACGTGAATGCGAGGCTTAGGACGTATAAGTATTGTTATTCAAACTTAAGCGCTATTTATGTAAAAGGTCTATAACTGCTTCTGTTGGACTTTGATTTTAGCACTAGGTGAAAAATGAACAACGTTGTTCGGAGCTTCAGTTCTGTTTTCGTCAATTCAATATTCACAGAAATATGGGACAACATTGAAAGGCAATATTTAATGAGCTCAGGATGGGTGAGTTTATTGATGAATCAGAACAAAAGGAATACTGTTCGTCCGAACGTGAGTCAGTGTAAAAGGTCGTTATGTTTTTATTTCTTTTTTTTTTTTTTTTTTTTTTCTCCGCAAGCATGAAAAATAAAAATGTTCTCTAGAAAACACGCGCAGGAAAAAAACTATATTCTTTCCTTTTTCCACCTGTTCATTTTATTTTTATTGAATGATTTTCCTTTTCAAAAGTATAGGGCTAAAAAAGGAGAACTATTTTGGTTTACTGGTATATCAGTAAAATTGCCCTCACTGCTTTGTGCTCATAATATTTTCCTGACAACTTTTTCAGGTGTTGAAATCGAAAAAAATCTTCTTTAAAGGATATTTCAAGATCCAGCTTAGAGCAAAAATTTAAATTAACATTGGCAGAATTGGAAATTAATATTTTAAACTTTTTTTTTGGGCACAATCTTTTATAAAGCTTCGGACTGAATTGTGTTCTCAAGTAGTACTGGACTGAGTACAAAAGGAATAAATATGTTAAATTTCAATGGAGCATATTGAAGTGATATTACACAGTGTGTAGGAAAGCATCCTGTAGTACTCCTTTAAAGTCAATTAAATAACACGAACTTCAAAGAAAAGGTCAAAAAATCGGTTTAATTGAAGGCAGAAGTTCTTCCGACTACTTAACTTTTAACTTTTATTTTTTCCTAGCTCTCAACGTAATGGTGAACCAACATATTTCAAGATAATTGCATAAATGTCTCACCTGCTAGCAAAAAGCACATTATAAAAGTAACTGGAGCATCAACACGGTTGCAATAAACAAGACCCAGTGATAACACACAAACTGCGGTGACAAACATGACAATAAAACGCATTTTGGAAAACAAAATTCATTAACTTGA